GATCTGAAGAATCTACCATCCCAGCAACTGTGAGAGGGAAGGGACACAGAACTGCCCAGGTGTACTGAAGAAGTTGTGTATGCAGGGGAAACCCTGAGGACTCTGATCTATACCTTGAGTTTGGGAATGCCAATTCAAGGAGTTTCTCTGATCCCAGAATAAAGACCCTGGAGCTACACTTAAATAAAAAAAAAACCTACTGCCTTCTACCTTTCCTTTTGTGGTCTAACCTAAACACCCTCTGAGAAGAAGTAGCTGTCTTTTAGGGTTGTTGGGAGCTACTGTCCAGTTGGCCTCCAACTCATGGCGACCTCATGTAAACAGAACAAGTCCTATGCCACCCTTATGGTCGGTTGTGGATCAAACCAATGTGGTCCATAGAGTCTCATTGGCTGATATTTGGAAGCAGGTCACCAGGCCTTTCTCCCTAGTCGGTTTTAGTCCAGAAGCTCTGCTGAAGCCTTTTGAGAATAATGTTGTTGTTAAGTGCTGTCAAGTCACCTCTGATACATAGCAACCATGTTTCTGAGGAGCAGCTGGTGAGTTTGTGGTTCAAACCAACCTTGCAGTCCAGTGCTTATCCTACAGCACCATACCAGGACTCCGTTTAGCATCATAGCAACACATAAAATTCATTGGTGGTAGCTGTACATGAGGTGCACTGGTTGGGTGTCAACCTGGGTCTTTCTCATGAAGGCAAACATTCTACTATGGAACCACAATGCTCTCCTTTGGGTTAGAAATCCCAATTTTCAAAGGAGAATAAGACAGGTGCTGCTCTTACATTCTTCAGCCAAGGGCCCGGTCTGTGCTCCACACAGCTGTCTCCTCTGTCAGGAAACATCCCCCCAGAAGGCAGGTGTTCTGCAAGGGGGTGGGAGTGGTTTAGCTAATTCCAGTGGGTCTCTAGGGTTTAGCTGGAAGAAGAAAGGGGTTGAGATTGGAAAATCACATTCTGGAATCTGAGTCTAATGAGGTTTGCTATAGTCAAGGCAGGCCTGCAGGGGAAAGAGAGTAGGGATGAGGCTTGAAGAGTAGGGAGATTTTGGATGTTAGCATGTAACCATGACAAAGAAGATAAATTTGACCTTCACTGTAGTAATAGCACTAAGCTACATTGACAGTTTGTTTCTCAGGCTTTATTTTTATATCAGCTTTGTGATTTTTGTCATTCTACCACTAGGGAAACTCAGGCTCTGAGTGCAGGTAATCTGTCCCAAATTACAATCTTACCATGTGGGTGATTCAAGTTCAATTGCCAACCACTGTAGCTCACATGTAGCCACGGCTTGTTTGTAAGTGGAGGTTTGTACTGAACTGGTTTCGGTAGATCTTCCAGGCTAAGGTCGAGAAGGAAGGTAAGCCTGGCAATCTATTTCCAGAAATCAGCCAATGAAAACTCTACGGATCTAGGACTGACTTGAGGGTATACCAGGGACAACAAGCTATCGCAGCAACCAAACCTTCAGACTTTTCAAGCCCAGTGCTTCTTCCAGTCTTCCTGAAATCCCAGCTAGCCTCTACTGAATGAAGGACTTGATTGTCAGAAGCTTTGGGTCTGGTTGGGTGGCTTGAGGCCCTGGGAGTGTAGTTACTGAGCAGGACAGGGCTGTGACCCTCACTGCCCCCTCCTCCTTATCCAGGCTTTCACAACCGTGGCCACCTTGAATCCCCTGAGGCTGTCGGTGTTCTTTGCACCCTTTGCAATCAAAGGCATCACGAATTGCACTTCCGCAGCTGACAGGCTCAAGGTAAGTGCCCAGGACCAGTCCTTTGGTGGATGCTCCTTTGCTATCAGCCCCTATGGTATTCCTTTTGAACATGTCCCAGGACCAAGGCAGCATCTGGCTGAGAGGGACTGGCTAACTCAGTGACCTCCTGTGTCAAGGCTGCCGGGAAGGCTGGGTCCCAGTCATCAGATTATTCGATGAGTGGTCTGCAAATCATATCAAGTATGAAAATAAGATTGCCTATGGTTATCCCTATGGTTTTATTATTATTTTAAAAAAATCATATATATTCCAAAGATTTCTAGAGTCCTTTGATTAGGAGATCTGGCAACACTGGACCCACATCCTCCTATAGCCACAAGCAGCTGGTATCCAAGGTGCTAGCTGCCTGCCCTAACCAGGCAGATGGCTAAGATGGCATGTATGTTTACTGGTTTTTGTTACAGTCCCCACCCTGCTCCATACCTAACACTGGGACTGAATTTCAGTTGCTGTTTATCATCTTAGAAATGTTCGATTTCACATATTTACTATTGTTGGTCTTACAGTTACTGACATCTGAGTTTGAAAACCTTTATCTAAAAGAATTAAAATTTTTTAAATAACATTTCACATTTATACACATTCAGTCTGTGAGTTTTATCATTCATTGGCTCCTCCAGTGATTTATTCAATACATACTTATTTACCACCGACCACATGCTATGTACTGAGATGACTGTATGAAAATAGGGTCCCTGCTGTCAGCACGTTCCAATCTGGTACAGGAAACAAGTAAATTAATCATCAAAGAAGATGATATCAGATCACATGAAGAGCTGTGATATCAGTAACACAATCTGATGTTATGAAGAATATGTGGGGGAGGACTTGTTGTTGTTGTTGTTATGTGCTGTGGAGTCGATTCCGACTCATAGCGACCCTATACAGGGTTTCTGAGGCTGTAAATCTTTACAGGAGCAGAAAGCCTCATCTTTCTCCCATGGAACAGCTGGTAGTTTCGAACTGTTGCCCGTGAGATTAGCAGCCTGATTCGTATTGACTATACTCCCAGAGCTCCTTGGGGGAGGACTAGAGGCTACTTTAGTTAAGCTAGTCCAGGAAGTTTCCTTTGCCCAGGTGAGACTTGTGCTAAGACTTGAATGAAGACTAAAGCAAAAGCAAAGGTCCTCGAGGCTGGAATGAATTTGGCTGCCCAAGTAACAGGAACAAGGACAGTTCTTTACTTATCAAATAGCCCCAGGAACTTCCTTAATTTCTCAGCAGCTCTCTTCCTCCCCTCTAGCCCACTGGGTTCTGCCATCTCCCTCTCTCAGCCTGTTTTTGTTTGTTTGTTTTGAACATAAGATGTTTTCCTTTATTATTTTTATTCATATTGATGTATTTATAGTTGTATACAAGAAAATACAGCTGTTTCTTTATTTTAAATTTTCCTGTATTTCATTTGTCAATATGTTAATAGAATTTTACATTTATATAAAGGTGATATTAGCTTATAATTTTCCTTTCAAAATTTTATCATACCAAATTTACCTGTGGGGTTGTAGAGATGAGGAAGCCAGGTGTGCCGGCTATAGGAATGGCGAAGGAGACAGCTTTGGCCATGTCCAGGGTCTGGACTTCTATGTGACTGGAGAGCAGGAAGTGGTGGGAATGGGTCCAGTCACGGTGGGACATGGGAGCAGGAAGGACAGGAACCAGGGCAAACTGCTCAAGTCTCCATCAAGGTAACAGTAGGCTGTTGGGATGGGTAAGTACTCTTCAAGTTCCTCTCACTCAGCCAGAACACAGTAAGCACGTCAGCTCCTCCTGTTTTAGTCATCTGCATTTTCTGTTTGGCTCTGTATGCATGTGACTTAGTGACTGCTGGGTCACTCTTCCTTCTTCTTCCTCTCTCCACACTGGAACTCTAACTCCGCTCCCTGGGCCTGTTGACTCTTGATGTCATTGTTGTTGTTAAGTGCTGTTGAGTTGGTTCCAACTCATAGCTTTCTCAGGAGCAGTGGTGGTTTGCACTGCCGACCTTGCAGTTCAAACTGACCTTGTAGTCCAGTGCTTATCCTACAGCACCACAGAAAAGAGGAGAAATCGTGATCCCTCAAGGAGGAGCCCTCTTGGGAGGTGACTTCAGTGGAGAAGATCTGTGATTGCCTGTCATGCGGAAGTCTGGAGAAGGCTCTGGGGTAGGAGTCTCCAGATACCAGTTTCCTTTGTGCTATTTATTGTCCTGGTATGGCGCTGTGGGTTAATGTGCTGGACTGCAAAGTCAGCTTGAACTACAAGGCTGGCGGTTCAAACTCACCAGCCACTTGGAAACCAAGTTGCTATGGGTTGGAACTGACTCCACGTTACTTAACAACAACAGCAATGTCCTGGTATGATATTGCGGGACAATGAACTGGACTGCAAGGTCATTCTGAACCACAGTATTGGCAGTTCAAACTCACCAGCGGTTCCTTGGAAATCCTATACAGGGTTGCTATGAGTTGGAACCAACTTGACAGCACTTAACAACAACAATTTATTGAAAGGAGTCCTGGTGTGGTGCTGTGGAATAAAGCACTGGATCGCAAGGTCAGCTTGAGCCACAAGGTCAGTGGTTCAAATTCACCAGCCACTCCTTGGAAACTATACAGGTCACTATGAGTTGGAACTGACTTGATGGCACTTAACAACAACAAATTTATTGAAAAATAATTGAAAATCAATGAACTGCATGAACAAAAGTAGAGACTGAGGTTATACTTGGAGCATTTAGAGGCTGGGAAGATCCCATGCTTTGTTTTTATAAACCACTTTATCAACATTCATTCCTGTCCAGATAATTACTTGTCTTTATTGACACATAAAGCTAGACTGCTGCTCAAGTTTTATATAACAGAATTACAACGTATGTGATAAAACTTAAAAAAAAAAAAAAAAACATAAGGCAAAAATGATCAAGAGGGTGAAAACCACATTTGGAACAGTGGGTACTTATGGAAAGAACTTGGAGGACTGGTGTGGGGCTGTGGATTAGCACTGGACTGCAAACCACAGGGTTGGCAGTTCTAACCCACCAGCTGCTCCTTGGAAACCCTATACAGGGTTGCTATGAGTTGGAACTGACTTAATGGCACTAACAACAACAATCTGCACCATGCAGGGAGGGGAAAGGTCATGTTGCCTACGGTTACAAGACACAAGTGGTGGCTCATTGATTCCGTGCTGGGTTCATGTTGTTGTGTTGTTAGGTAGCATGAATTTGGTTCGGACTCATATGCAAAACAGAATGAAACACTGCCCAGCCCTGCACCATCCTGACAATTATTTTATGTTAGAGCTCATTGTTGCTGCCACTGTGCTAAACAATTTCCTTGGAGGCCTTCCTCTTTTTCTCTAACCTTCCACTTTACCAAGCATGGTGTCCTTCTCCAGGACTCATCCCTCCTGACAACACATTCAAAGCATGAGAGGTGAAGTCTCGCCATCTTGGCTTCCTTAATGGGATTCTGGCTGTACTTATTCTAACACAGATTTGTTTGTTCTTCTGGTAGTCCACCGTACTTTCACTACTTTTTATCAACACCATAACTCAAATGTATCAATTCTTCAACAGTTGTTATTTATTGTCCACTTCCACATGCATATGAGGCGATGCTATCTATAGTTTGTTATGATCCACACAGTCAAATGTCTTTGCATAGTCAATAATGCACAAGTAAACTTCTTTCTGGTTCTCTCTGCTTTCACCCAAAATTCATCGGGTGTCAGCCATGATATCCCTCATTCCACGTCCTCTTCTGAATCTGACTTGGATTTCTGGCAGCTCCTTGTTGATGTACTACTGCAATCATTTTTAAATTGTGTTCAGCAAAATTTTTAATTTTACTCATATGTGATAATAGTGATATGGTTCAATGATTTCTGTATTCTATTGGGCCACCTTTCTTAGGAATGGGCACAAATATGGATCTCTTTCAATCAGTTAGCCAGGTAGCTGTCTTCCAAATTTCTTGGCATAGATGAGTGAGTGCCTCAAGCACTGCACCAGCTTGTTGAAAAATTTCAATTTGTATTCCATCAACTCCTGGAGGCTTGCTTTTTTCCAATGCCTTCAGTACATTTTGGACTTCTTCTGTCAGTACCATTGGTTTTTGATCATATGCTATTTCTTGAAATGGTTGAACATGAACTAATTATTTTTGAAGCAGTGATTCTATGTATTCCTTCTATCTCCTGTTGATGCTTCCTACATCATTCAATATTTTCCCATAGTATTCTTCAGTATTGCAAGTCTAGGCTTGAATTCTTTCTTTAGTTCTTTCAGCTTGAGAAATGCTGACTGTGTTCTTCCCTTTTTGTTCCCTAACTCCAGGTTTTCGTGCATTTCATTATAATACTTTCCTTCTCTTGCTGAACTGAACTGAACTGCCCTTTGACATTTTTTGTTCATCTCTTTTACTTCCTTATTTCTTTCAGTTGTTTTAGCTACTCTATGCTCAAGAGCAAGTTTCATAGTGTCTTCTGACATCTCTTTTAGTCTTTCCTATCTTTCTTCCTGTATGATATTCTTGATACCATCCCACAATTCTTCTGGTCTTTGGCCATTAGTGTCTAATGCTTCAAATTTGTTCTTGAGATGGTCTTTAATTCAGGTGGAATATATTCAAGGTAGTATTTTGGTTCCCATGAACTTGTTTTCATTTTCTTCAGCTTCAGCCTGAACTTGCATATGAAGAATCTATGATCTGTTCCACAGTCTGCCCTGCCCTGGTTTTAGTTGATGATAATGAGCTTCTCCATTGTTTCTTCCCACAGATGTAATCAGTTTGAGTCTTGTGCATTCGTTTTGGTTAGATCCACGTGTATAGTCACTTTTTACGTTGTAGAGCAAAGGTATTTGTAATTAACAAATCGTTGGTCTTACAAAATTCTATCATGTGATCTCCAGCATTGTTTCTATCACCAAGGTCAAAATTTCCAACTACTGATCCTTCCTCTTTGTTTTCTACTCATATTTTACAGACAGAGAGCTGGGGATGCAAGAAGAATAGACCTATTGACAATCACATTTTGAAATGTATAACCTGAAATAGCATTTCCCACAGTGTGATATAGAACAGACCTCTTTATTTTCATTGTTGTTGTTGTTAAGTGCCATTGAGTTGATTCCAACTCATAGCAACACTGTATAGAGTTTCAAAGAGTGGCTGGTGAGTTTGAACGGACAGCTTTGCGTTTCAAATCTACCTTGTGGTCCAGTGTTTATCCTACAGTGCCACACATAAATTTCAATGAGAAAAAAATCATATATCACAACTCATGGAAGCATCAGTCAAGAAATCAAATGACATGTTGCTTTATGAAAATCTGCTGCATAAGATCTCTTTAACGTGCTCAAGAGCAAAAATATCAGTTTGAGGACTAAGGTATACTATCAATCACCCCATATACATGTGAAAGCTGGACAGTGAATAAGAAGACTGTAGAAGAATTGATGTATTTGACTTATGGTGTTGGGGAAGAATATTAAAAGTACATGGACTACCAGAAGAACAAACAAATCTGTTTTGGATGAAATACAGCCAGAATACTCCTTAGAAGCCAGGATGGCAAGACTTCGTCTCTCATACTTCAGACATGCTATCAGGACAGACTAGTCCCTGGAGAAGGACACCATAATGAGTAAAGTGGAGGGTCATCAAAAATGAGGAAGACCTCTCAATGAGATGGATTGACACAGTGGCAAGCAGCAATGGACCCAAGCATAACAACAATTGTCAGGATGGCGTAGGACTGGACAGTGTTTAGTTTTGTTGTGTCTAGGTCACTATGAGTCAGACCCAATTCAATGGCACCTAACAGCAGCAGCAACAACAACATATATCTGTACTGTGATTCAAGAGCTGCTATTACTTTAGAATGAGGCTAGTGTTGTTGGATACAATGTGGGTGGTTCAAGCTCACCAGCAGCTCCTCGGAAACTCTGTACAGAGCTGCTGTGGGTCAGAATTGACTGGACGGCACTTAACAACATCAATAAAAATTCAATTTATTATAGGACAGGAAATAACCAAATGTGTGGGTGACACACAAACATGAGTATAGTGGAATTGTTCAGATTTGAGATTTGGAAAACACTGAACTCATATTTTTACCAGCAGAAACTGGTTTCCAACTTTTGCTGTTTACCAAAAGATCAATAATACAGACCAAACTGAGCAGTTAGTAAAATGGTATACATTCTTACGGAGCTAAATAAAGGAATTCCTCCTTCTTCCCTTTCTTTTTGTCTTAACAGAAAATTTTCCTCCAGGAGAGCCCTACACTATATGTCCAGACATTAAAAGACCCCAGCAAGGCACTGGTTTTAGAGGGTGCCACTTTGTCATGGAAACAGACCTGCCCTGGGATGGTCAATGGAGGCTTGGAGATGGAGAAGAATGGACACACCTCTGAGGGGAGGACTGGAACTCAACCACCTTTAAGTGACCTCAGGCCAGAGGACAAAGGACACAGCCTGGGCCCAGAATTGCACAATATAAACTTGATAGTTTCAAAGGTAGTTTTATTTTTGCTGGCCTCCAGACTTTTTGGGCCTGAGACTTTGGTTAAAAATTGCCTTTTCTAAGAAATCCCTTTTAAAATACAGTTTTCATAGCATATAAATGCAGGAAGTCCTTCATAGTTTAGTGTCAATTAGTTGATCGTGTAAATTGTTTGTAACTGCTAAGACCCCAGAATAGTATGAGAGTAACATATTCCTGTATTTGGAGGAACCAAGGACAGAGAAAGGAAAGGGAGGAGACCAAACTTACATTTATTAAGTTCCTGATATTAAGTGTCTGGCGCTATCCTACCTGTTTTATTTAGTTTGTTTTGTTGTTTTCTGGCTTGTCCTCTACCTAATTTTTACAAAGGTTCAGTCACCTGCTCTCTCCTATTCTCACCTCAACTCTCCTCTATCTATTTACACATTGTCCTCTGGAACCATCCCATCTAGTTCCCCAGCTTTAGATTTCATCTGTATGGTATTATTTCAAGCCCTGATGTCCTTTGAGCTCCAGACTCAGCTACCTATTTAATATCTCCACTTAAATGCCTATTAAGCATTTCAAATAAAAGAAGAACAGTCTTCCCCATCTCAGGAGATGACACCACCAAACTTGATTTCTGTCCTTCCCTCCTACCCATCCAATCCATCAACAGAGTCTGTCAGCTCGATTTCAACATCTCTCCCCAAACCCTCACCATATGTACACCACCTCTCACCATTCAACAGGAATGTAGGAAAGCACTCAAGCTCGGTGGCTCAGACCCATCAGCTGCTGCTCAGAAGCTCTATATAGGGCCCTATGAGTCAGAACTGATTCCATGGCACTTAACAATAACAACAGTGATGGAATATTCTTGCCCCAGATTTTCTGTGCCTGGCTCCTTGTCATTCAGGTGTCAACTTCAATGATATCAGCTCCGAGAAAATTTTCTTATTACCCCATCTAAAATCGTTTTAACCCCCAGCTCTCTGTCATGGTGATGGTGGTGGTTATGTGCCAGGGAGTCGGTTCCTACTCCTAGTGACCCTGTACAAGGGGGTTTCCGAGGTTGTCAATCTTTACAGGAGCAGAAAGCCTCATCTTTCTCTCATGGAACAGCTGGTAGTTTCAAACTGCTGACCTTGAGGTTCCTAGCTCTCAGTCATGTTGTTGTTGTTTAGTGCTGTGAGGTCAATTCCAACCCATAGCGACTCTGTGTAAGGTTTCCGAGGAGCAGCTGGTGAGCTTGAACCACCAACCTTGCAGATCAAACAGCTTTGCAGTCTGTCATAGTAACTGATTATTTCATTTTACTTATATCACTTATCACCATTTGGTCATATCTTATTTATTTGTTATTGTTTTATGATCTACCTTCCTCACTAGAATGTCAGCTCAATGAGTTCACTCATTGTGTTTACTACATAACAGAAATTCAAATGAGTATTTAAAGAAGGAATGAATGGATGAATGCATGCATGAATGCATTCTGTAAGGCTGGCTTCATTATCCCCATTTTATAGATGACTAAACTGAGGCTCAGAGAGGCTAAGTGACAGCAGATGCTAAGCTAGAATTCAGGTTTCCTGCCCAGCATGCCCACTCATCCATGAATTTCTCTCTGCTACTGGACTGAGTCTTCTTGCTCAGAGGCTGTCTCATCCAGCTTTACAGACCAAACACAAAGCTTCTCTTAAAATCTGCATATCTTACAGGTCTTGGGAAAAGGTGATAATTTTGTTTTGTGTTTGCCATTTTATGTTCCAGTAATCAGCCCACCCTGGGTAAACAGGAGGGTTGTGCTGGACCAATGCCTCTGTCTTCCTTGACTGTGCAGGGCAAGATGCTGGGGATCTGTGGCAACACAGGTAGTGGCAAGAGCAGTCTGCTGTCAGCCATCTTGGGGGAGGTAAGTGACTTATGACCGCAGTGCATTCCCACTCACTGGCCCTCCAGTTGTTCTCAATCTGGGGTTCTCCAGGAAGGCTCAAAGGAATCTGAGCAATAGGAGCTTTGTAAAGTGGAGACAGCTGTGCATGGCCCTTGGGGCAATGAATTGGAAGTGTGCTCCCCCCTCAGTGACATTTCCTACCCATCCTGAGGCAGCACTCCTGGTCAGAGTGTCTCCTGAGGTGCTTTTCTTTCCTTCTACCAGGGTGATGATACAGGGTATCTCCAAGTTTAATATGATCATAATGTGGAACTGCATCAAGAGTGAAATGTGGCACATAATTCACAACAAAACATTAAAAATAAAAAAAGAATGAAATGTGGAGGGCAGAAGAAGGGAGGACGGGTGTGGGGAGGGATAGGGCCATCGCACTCCACCAGCAGTGGAACCTACCCTGCCTTAGAGATCTCAGTGGTAGATCTTGAACCCCCAACTTTCCCTGGAAGTTCTGAGGTCTGCTTTGCCTGTGACCATGCAAACATGCAATTCAGCTTTTCTCCAGTTTCAACCTCCCTGTCCCTCCAAAGCAAACATGCACAAAAAAGTTCCCACAGAACATTGTACATCTCATAACAAAACACAACTAAAATGCCCACAGATCTAGCATGCATTTATGCTTCTTCCTACAGGAGGAACTAACTCCCTGGGTGGCACAGGTAGCTAAGCCATAAAAGGTTGGCACTTCAAATCCACCCAAAGTCACCTTGGAAGTAAGCCTTGGCCATTGGCTTTCAAAAGGATGAAAACCCGATGGGGCAGTTATTCTCTGCACACACAGGTCACCGTGAGGTGGAACTAACTCCACTAACAGCCAGAACAGCAACCATGACAAACCTAGAGGGATTTCTCACTGTCCTTCCCTTCTCTGCGGATCATCCTTCCTTCCCACATTGTCCAGCGAACTAGCAGTTTTCCTTCCTTTATTCAGGGTTTCCTCAACTATTTCTCCCCAAAGTACACATCCAAACTTAAGAAAGCATCTTGCCCATAGAATGCGGTCATGTTTAAAGTAGAGATTCTCTCCTAATCCAGGCTCTTTTCTCTGTGTTTCACATGCGACATCCTTTCCTTAGCTTCTTTAGAACTAGGGTGAGAAAGGCTCCATGTTTTTAATAACAGTAAAATCAGTCTAAGCACTATGTTCCAGGCCCTGTGCTAAGAGATTTTCATTTTTTCCTTCAGTCTCATAACAACCCAACGAGGAAGCCAGACTCACTATGGCCAGTTTGTTGTTGTTAAGTGCTATTGAGTTGCTTCTGACTCATAGCAACCCTATATAGGAATTCTGAAGAGCAGCTTGTGAATTTGAACCACTGACCTCACTGTTCAAACCTACTTTAAGGTCAAGTGCTACAGATGAGTAAGTAAGCAAAGTTCAGAGAGCAACTTGCCCAACGTCACACAGCAGGTGCAGCCAGGATGGAAACCTAGGTCTACTTGAAGTTGGCACTTTGCTCTTCTTCCTAGAAACCTTCTCTAGAAACTTCCATTCAAGGCCAGCTTTCTACATGGCTTGTGTAGTTCCTCCTAATAGAGGGGAAAAACCATTTGAAAGCTCTGTTCTTAATAATGAAAACCTAGTTTCAAATCAAAAGTAAAAATCACAGAAAAAAGAAAGTGTTGCTAATAGTTCCTGTGTTGGTGTGGTGTGTATGGGAGTTAGAGTCTTCGTGATTATTTTGTTAGTGTGTGCTTTAAACCTACCAGACAGAAAAGCAGAAGGAGCACTACAGGGAAGACTCATATCCACCACGCACACTGGACAGTTGACAACATTTCCCCACATTACCTCATCTATATATTCTGTAAAACTCTTAAATTGCAGAGATTACGATACTTTCAGTGCTAAATAACTCATTCTGAAATGCAACAATTATGATATTTTTCTATCTAACCATGATACCATGATCATACCTGACAACAGCAGTAGTAACTTCCTAAAGCCCAGGCAGGAGTCCTGGTGTGGCGCTCTAAGATAAGCACTGGACTACAAGGTCGGTTGGAACCACAAAGTCTGTGGGTTAAATTTGCCAGCTGCTCCTTGGAAACTATATAGGACTGCTGTTAGTAGGAACTGACTCAACAGCACTTAGCAACAACCATGCTCAGGCTGGGCTAAAGGCATTTGGGGTGTTTTGAGTGCCAATCTTGGATTCAATCACAGCACAAAGTGGCCCGGTTTGGGCTCCAGCTGCTTTCCCATGTTCCCATGCTCTCAGTCACTGAGGAGCCTGGCAGAGTGATGGTGGTGGTAGTAGTTGCCATGAAGTTGATTCCAATGCATAGTGACTTCATGTGACTCTGTAAGGGGGATGCTAAAGATCCTGTTTTGCATAAGACAATCCCAAGGATCCCATCCCAGTGGACAGTGGGCTGCTGAGACAGGTGGGCCAGGTGGTGGGTCCCGGTCCTCCTCCTCCCCCTCCAGGTCCTGAGGCTGGGCTTATTTCACTACAGATGCACTTGCTGGAGGGCTCAGTGGCGGTGCAGGGAAACCTGGCCTACGTGCCCCAGCAGGCCTGGATCATCGGAGGCAGTATCCAGGAGAATATCCTCATGGGAGACCAGTATGACAAGGCCCGGTAAGCCTCAGGAAGGGGCTATGAAGGAGACTGCTGAATGTGGTGGGTGTGGAGGGCACCTGAGCTGCTAGCAATAATTTAACAATTGCTAACTTTGCTGTGTTCTCACCTACATGCATCATCCTACTTCTTCCTCACTGTGAAAGAAGAATTGTTAACATATTTATTTTCCAGATGAGTCAACTGAGGTAACAGGAGGCTAAGTAATTTGTCCAAAATCAGACAGCTGGGAGGACACAGTAGAGTCAGGGTTTGAAACCAAACACTTAACTATTTTACTATGTTGGCTCAAAATAGCCAGTTCCCTGCTTGCTCCAAAAATGTCACTCCAAGCTTCATTTGTATCAATTAAATGCTAGTCTGTAAATCAAGAGTTAAAACAAATGGGATGATGAAGTTACACAAAGTAGAGGAAGTGATTTTTGGATTCCTGACCAGGTAGGCCTCCCGCCTCCCGCCTCCCACCTCCCATCTGAATCCCTCCTTCCTCTCTTCAACCTCTCCCTGGCCGGTTCTGGGGTTGTCTGACTGAAAAACGCATTTGAAAGTCTATTCAGTAGAGGACCCAGAAAATTCTGTCCTGAAAATTCTCTCCTGCTATGCTAACCCTGGTGGACTTTAACTGAATTTGACCATTTGCCTGGTTTTGCAATCTGTGACACTATGACACTAGTGACACTGAATGGCCTAGGTGTGTAGTTGTGTAGACTAGTGTTCTGTGGGCACTCTGACCCATACTTCCTTTGCCAGTGGGAACTACAGCTTGCCTCAGCTATCACTCCACAGGAACAATGATTTTGGACTATTAAATGTTTCTGTTTTATAATCTAACAATAGTGACATCTGTTGAGCTCATACAGCCTCCTTTGCCCAACTCTCAACTCACTGTTTCTCTTCCCATACGGCCTGATTAATGAATGCCTTTCCCAGCTTGTGCACCCCAGTTAGCCTGGATGCCTTCCTCTCTGTATTAGTCTTTTCTTTGGGATCTCTTTTATTTCTCTCTTGTTCTCCAGTCTGGGTTGTCTCTTGCTTAAACTGTTTCTTCTGTCTCTGTCATTCAATCCATGCCTCCATTCTTTGGCTCTGTTCCATTCCTCATATGGTCTCCAGAACAATTACTCTAAAATCCAACTCTCATCCTATCATTGCTCTGCTTTCACACTGGTACAGCGTGGAAGGCAGTTTTGAAATACCCATTTGAAAGTGAAAATTCACCAACTCTTTGACACAGCAAATCTGCTAGATGTTTAATGAATAGATAACTTCATTCATGAATACAAATGCAAAGGAATGTTCATAGTAGCAAAAGACTGGAGACAACCAAAGAGCCCATTGATGATGTACTGGTTAAATAGTTTATGGTGTAATCATATGATTGAATACTATGATGCCATAAAAATATTAACCTGTATGTGCTAAACACAAACATGTGAAGAGATAATTTCTGAATACATACATAAAAATAGTAAGCGACAGAATAGTTTAGGGTTAAAAAATGGGAGGAAGATTTTTCTTTTTACTGTCTCTTTTTTTTGGCTCAAGTATTTACTAAGTGCATGTTCAGGAGGGCTTCAAAATATTTCCAGGACCTTTTTGAAGCACTCCTGTATTACTCTAAAAGAAGTGAAAGAATGAAGGAAATTTAAAAAGCGTCTAATGGTTTACTGTTAAACACAGATCAAATCCAAATTTCTTAGCAAGGAATTTCAGGCCTTTCCCTTCAAGACTTGGGGAGGGCCTAAGGGCAGGTCCACCTGTACCTCACAGCTCCCTGTCCTTTAAAGGTATCGCCAGGTGGTCCATTGCTGCTCCCTGAAACGGGACCTGGAAATCCTGCCCTTTGGAGACATGACAGAGGTAAGTGGGAGGTAAGCCGTGCTGGCGTTTTTATGATCTGAAGTCCTCTCTGTCTCCCAGGGTGGGTAGAGAAAGTCCCCCAGCCCTTTCTTCTCTAGGAACCTGGACTTTTCCTGTAGCTATGGTCGCAAAGTCAAGAGGTAAGAGTTCCCCCCTGAGGGCCGTCTTATACAGTGGGAACTGGAGAAGAAAGGTGCCACCTTACCTCATAAGGTGGTGGGACTGACCTCAAGCTTCTCCTTCTGGAGCAGAGTGGAAGTCCTATAAAGATGGAAAATCTCTCCCACCACCTCCGCTCTGGCCAGTACTTATCAGTGAGAACCTCAGTTTACTTTGCCCATGATTTCTAGCCATTACATTTTCCTGATCCTCTGCTGTCTTTCACATTTATATTCACTGCCTTAGAAACCATTTCAACTCACAGAGACCCTGTAGGAGAGAGTAGACTTTCTGAGGCTGCAAATCTTTATGGAAGCTGATTGCCACAACTTTCAAACATGGAACTGCTGGTGGGTCCAAACTGCTCACCTTTTGATTAGCAGACCAATGCTTAACCCACCGTGCTACCAGGGATCCATTTTGCACTGTGTTGTTGTTAAGTTGTTGTTAAGTGTCGCTGAGTCTGTTCTGACTCAAAGCAACCCTACAGAGAGCTTTCGAAGCTGTAAGTCTTTACAGGAGCAGAAAGCCTCATCTTTCTCCCACTGAGCGGTTAATAGATATGAATGGCTGCGCCATCAACCAACAAGCATGCAGTTAGCAGTCAATGCTTAACCCACTAGGTTATCAGGACTCATGCTGCACCAGGATGTTGTTGTTATTGTTGTTGTTGTTGTTATGTGCTGTGGAGTCGGTTCCTACTCATAGCAACCCTGTACAGGGTTTCTGAGGCTGTAAATCTTTACAGGAGTAGAAAGCCTCATCTTTCTCCTGCGGAACTGCTGGTAGTTTCAAACTGCTGACCCTGAGGTTAGCAGCCTGATTTGTAACCACTACGCTACCAGAGCTACCAACCCATAATCTCCTAAAAGAATCCTGGCATGACTCTGTTTCCTGGGAACGGGAGGCTTATTTTACTATCGAATTTTTTAGTGATTTAACGTGCATTCTGAGACGTTGACAGGCTTAGAAAACTTGGATCTAATTATCAGTTACGTAATTTTGATTAATTGAAAATCAGTTTCTTCATTCCCTGCTAAGCAAATTTTGAAAAATGTTTCTAGAATGTTGCTAGCTGTTCTGGAGTGTATGCATATCTGGCCTATCTGCTTCCTTCCCCTCTATCTCCTCCCCCTGATTTAGGCACACCTCTGGATACCAAGCCTTAATTCCCTGTTCACAGGTTGGGGAGCGGGGACTCAACCTCTCCGGAGGGCAAAAGCAGAGAATCAGCCTGGCCCGGGCTGTCTACTCTGATCGTGAGGTCTACCTGCTTGATGACCCTCTGTCAGCTGTGGATGCCCATGTGGGAAAGCACATCTTTGAGGAGTGCATTAAGAAGACACTCAGGGGGAAGACCATTGTCCTGGTGACCCACCAGCTGCAGGTAACAATACCTAAAGGGTTCTGGTCACATGGTTGATGGATAATGTAGAATCTCAAAGCTTTGCCATTTCAGAGTATGAATCAAAATCAACCTCTTGGGCAGCTATCTCTTCCTCTCAACCAGTTGACATGAATGGCCTCCAATTTGTGTGCTCAAATGAATTTTTTTCATGCAATTATCTTTACTTTTAAATTTTTTATTGTGATTTGGGTAAAAGTTTACAGCGCAAATTGGTTTTCCAATCAACAATTCATACAAATTTTGTTTTGTTACATTCACTGCAGTCCCCACATTGTAAGAGAACACTTCCCATGTCCTCTTTGTATTACTTATTTCACTGGTCCTTCTTTCCTATCCATTTCTGCCTTTTGAAGTTTCTCCTTGGACAAATGCTGCCCTTTTTCTATATGGTTGATTGTTCTAAGGAATGGATGCCTCCCTGGTGTTATTGTTCACTTTATAGGCTTGTCTATTCATGGTATTTTCAATAACCTCATATGCATGTGAAAACTGGACAATGAGTAAGGAAGACCATAGAAGAATTGATGCGTTTGAATTGAGTTATGGTGTTGGAGGAGAATATTAAAAGTACCATGGAAATCTGTGTTGGAAGGATGTTCCCTGGAAGTCAGAATGGCCAGACATTGTCTCTCATACTTCAGATATATTGTCAGGAGGGACCAGTCCCTGGAGAAGGAGATCATAGTTGGTAAGGTGGAGGGTCGGAGAAAAAGAAGATCCTCAATGAGATGGATTGACACAGTGGCAGCAGCGATGGGCTCAGGTATAGCAACAATTGTGAGGTTGGCCCAGGACCGGGCAGTGTTTTGTTCTGTTGTGCATAGGGTTGCTAGGACTTGGAATGGACTCACTGGCACCTAGCAACAACAACATTCTTTGGCTACAAGTTGAGCCATGTGAGTGAGTTCAGGTCAGAGCTGGCAGGGCGTCTAAGGGTCATAGTCTTGAGGATTTCACCAGTTTCTATCAGCCCAGTAAGCCTGATCTTTTTTATTATTCTCAGTTTTGTTCCACATTGTTCTGCCATTCTATCAAGGACCTCCTGTTAAGATCCCTTTCAGAGTGGCCAATAGTGGTACTTAGGTACCATCTGGTTCCTCTGGTCTCAGGGTTGTTGATTTCAAGTGCTCCAATAATTTTTTTTTACTAGTTTCCTTTCATCTTTAATTTTCTTTACTCTTCTTTGCTTCTGACAGTTACCAATAGATGCACTTTAGATAGCCAGCCACTCACAGTTTTTTAAAACCCCAGTCGATATTCACCAGAGTAGGATGTAGAGCATTTTCTCTATAGATCAACTGACCTTGATGTTCCCCTGAGACTATGATTCTGAGACCCCAAGACCCAGAAACTCATTCCTTCAAGGTGTTAGATTATGGCTAAAAAGTTTTCATAACTTTGTCATCTGTATACTTTATTATCTTCATGGATAGATTTATAACACATATAAACACATATGTAGAAATTTGTGTGTCTGTATTGTTTATCCACTCATCAACAAACATTTAGGTTGTTTCCTTCTTTTTGCTATTGTGAAAAGTGCTGCAAAGAACATGGATGTGCATGTATCTGTTTGTATCATGGCTCTAATTTCTCTAGCATAGATGTCTAGTAGTGGTATGGCTGGATCATACGGTATTTCTGTTTCTAATTTTTTAAGAAAGCACCATACCATTTTCCACAGTGTTTGTACCTTTGTTATGCAAGATTCTCTTAACACCCTAAACAGTATTTGTTGTTTTCTGTTTTTCTGAACTTTGTTATTCGTTCTGGGGTAAAGTGATATCTCACTGTTTTATTGATTTGCATCTCTCTAATAGCTCTGGTAGGTAGCGTAGTGGTTATGAATAGGGCTGTGAACTGCAAGATCAGCAGTTCGAAACTACCAGCTGTTCCATGGGAGAATGATAAGGCTTTCTGCTCCCGTAAAGATTTATAGCCTTGGAAATCCTGTGCAGGGTCGCTATGAGTCGGAACCGACTCCTTGGCACATAACCACCACCACCACCACCAATAGCTAATGGCGTGACTCTGGGGGTTAATGCACTGGACTGCAAAGTTGGTTTGAACTGCAAGATTGGCAGTTCAAGATCACCAGCTAATCCTTGGAAACCCTATACAATGTTGCTATGAGTCAGAACTGACTCGATAGCACTTAACAACAACAATAACAACAACAAATAGTTAATGAAGGAGCTATGGTAGCATAGTGGTTACAAGTCGGGCTGCAAACCTCAAGGTTAGCAGTTCAAAACTACCAGCAGTTCTGTGGGAAATAGATGAGACTTTCTGCTCCTGTAAAGATTTACAGTCTCAGAAACTCTATGCAGGGTCTCTATGAGTCAGAACCGACCCCATGGGACACCACTACCACCAAAATAATTGCTAATGGTGTGGCATTGTAGGATAATATTGGACTACTAACCACAATATCAGCTGTTCAAATCCACAAGTTGCTCCTCAGAAACCCTATACAGGGTATCCATGAATTCGAACCAACTTGAAGACACTTAACAAAAGCAATGGCTAATGATGGTGAGAATTTCTTCATGGATGTCTGAATATCTTCTTTGGTGATATATCTATTCACGTGCTATGTCTATTTTTTGATTGTATTTTTTTTTTTTTTTTGTCTTTTTGTTATTGAGATGTTGAAGTTTCCATAAATTTTAAGGATTAGTCCCATTAGTCCCTTGTCTGATATATCAGTGTCAAAATTTTTTCCCCATTCTGGAGTTTTTCTCATTTTACTCTTTTGGTGAAGTCTTTTGATGTTCATAAAGGCTTATTTTTTTAGGCGGTCCCAGTCATCTCGTTTGTATGTTTTTTAGTTGTGTTTAACAGTGTCTTTACGCCATCTTTAGGGCCCTTAGTTTTGCCCAAAGAATACCTGGTAGCATAGTTGATTATGAGCTGGGCTGCTAACCACAAGGTTAGCAGTTCAAATCTACCAGCTACTTCAAGGGAGAATGATGAGCTTTCTGTTCCTGTAAAGATTTACAGTCTCTGAAACCCTATACAGTGTTGCTATGAGTCGAAACTGACTTGGCAACATACAACAACCACCACCACCAAGTTTGCCCCTCTTTTTTTCTTTGGTAATCTTTATAATTCTATGATTAACATCTTGTCCTGGGAGAAGGACATCATGCTTGGTAAAGTGGAGGGTCTGTGTAAAAGAGGAAGACCCCCAATAAGATGGATTGACCCAGTGACAGCAGGAATGGGCTCCAGCATAACTGTAATTGTGAGGCTGGTGCATGACTGGGCAGTATTTCATTCTGTTGTACAGAGGGTCCTTGTGTTTCTGAACCAACTGAGTGGCACCTAAAAACAACAACACATTTAGGTCTTTGATGCATCTTGAATTAGTTTTTGTTTATGGTGAAAGATATGGATCCTGTTTAATTTTTCTACAAATGGATATCCAGTTTGTCAGTACCATTTGTTAAAGAGACTGTATCTTCACACTTTCATGCACTTTAGCCCTTTGTCAAAGATCAGCTGTCCATAGCTGGATGGATTTACTTCTGGATTCTCAATTCTGTTTCATTGGTCTGTGTGTCTGCGATAGTACCTATATGAGACTGTTTCGACTACCATGGTTGTATAGTAGCTTTGAGATCAGGAGCGTGAGGCCTACTACTTTGTTCCTTAGTAGGATTTTATATCTCTCTAGTCTCTTACCTTTCCATATAAAGTTGTAATGTGTTAAGTTTCTTTGAGGTTGCCTTACAGTCCATTAACTTTTCTCTCCATTCACTGTAGTCTATTTTATCCTGTAATCGACCTGACTTCTCACTATCTGGATCTCTGTTCCTACATGTTTACCTTCTTTTACATTGAACTTATTTTGATCATAGACTGATTTCCCAGATTCTCTGAGTTTGTTCTTATAATTTTGTTCTGGTCTCAACTCTTCCTTCTGTTGACTTAATTCAGGGAGATGCTGCCACGTATGTCAATCTCTGATTTTTGCCTGTTCTTGTTGGTTCTCAGTCCACAGAACTCCCTTTAGGATGTTTTGTAGTGCAGGGTTGGCTTTGGCAAAATCCCTTAGCTTCTGTTTATCTTGGAATGTTTTGATTACACCGTCATATTTGATTGATAGCTTTGCTGGATAAAGGATTCTTGGTTGGCAATTTTTGTCTT